TTATATACTTATATATTTTTGTATATTCTAATATTTTATGTAGATAATTAGAATTTTCAATGAATAGTAAAGCCATCTACAATAGTCGCACAGGCTGTGTCGCGAGGAGTAGCGTCACAGGAAAATTTTTCGCACGTCGCTAAATGAGCATTTACAACAATTACAAAAATTGTTTGCACGCAATTCGACAACAAATTCTACCGCCAAACTTGCTGTGCTGTAATTGGCTGAGCTTATGCGACACACTTGTCCCAATCTCGCAGAAAGTTGAAATTGGCTCAACTTCGTACTATAAAAGCTTTTGCGATTACAACAGTCATGCGACTAGAAGCAACATTCCTGCGACATTCTCACACAACATGCGACACAACCTGTGCGACTATTGTAGAAGAGATTAAAAATACAGCCAATATGAATGTAAAATATATATGCAGTAAATGTAATTACATAATGTATAGTTATATAATTACATAATTCTCTAAATCATTTTCTCGTTAGTTGATCTATTTCTTTAAATATACCCTACCTAATGATGTCCTTTATTTTTTTAAATATGTATAACATGTTGCAAATTGTGCGATAATAAACACACAGCGTAATAAATATTCTATAAACATTGTTTTTATAAATAAGAATATCATAATTTTATCTTTTAAATTTTAAATATGAGTACTGTAAAAGTTTAATAAAATAGTGTATCAACATTGATGATATTAGTATGATAATAATCATTGTTTTCATCCATATAGCATATCATATATGTTTATATACTTTACAGTTTCTTTACAGCAGCAAATAGTTTTTGCATAAATATAACCATATTCATAATACAACTAATTGTACTTGTGATATAAATAATAAAAGTATTTACTTTCTGGAAGCGCAAAACGTCATTGCTAAAATGAATTAAAATATTTTTCTCCATTGTCTTTGAAAGAAAATAATTAATTAGTTTGAAAGTATATGATACATCAATTCATGGAAAAAAAATTAACACAATTAACACATATATGTGTAGAGAATAACTTTTAAAGCTTTTTAAGATACTCTGCAATGCAAATAAACAATCTTTCATGAATACAAAGTGAAATTTTTGATGTATTGAATAAAGATGTGGCAAACATATTAGCTTCACAAATTTGCTATCGATAATTCAAAGGAAATTATTATAATAATAAGCAGATCTGCTTAACGGATAAATACTCGTAAGTACGATTTTCTAATTTTTGCTATTGATCACAATACACGTACTCGTATCTACGATATCTTGTCATATATTATTGTCGAGATAATTTTCATCCGAGTCTAGTGAGATCATGCGAAATTTGATTGAAGCGTATTATATAGTGGACCTTGAATTTTGTTGCAAATATTAATCTTCCCTAATTGGCACCTGTAACTGAAAAAAATCATAAAAGAATATTAATATTTTGTGTATAATAAATATTAAATGCACAGACATAAGTTGAACAAATTTTTTATATGCAGAATAATTCATGTTTTCATTATTTTTGAGAATTGATTTTTACATTTTATAATACTTCATGTGAATTATTCTGTATTTTTATAATAGAAAGCTACCATAAGCGTCACTCTCTTGTTATTGAAATTCTGCAAGTACGAAAATTGTCTTCCTATCGCAACAACCGTTACTATCTGAAATATCTATAAACCCTTGAAGATTTATATCGAAAGAAAACAGTTTCCATCACAATTTCGTGATCTGGGGAGTAAGGGAAAGAAGAAAGATCCCGTCTATCCTCGAGAGATCCTTTGTCCCGTCTCGCTATTGTGTTCTGTCACTGAATCGCGCGGATTCTCGTTTAGCTGCATTGGGAAAGAATTAAATTCGGAAACGGACGGACGAATCGTCGCGGACATCCCGTAGATTCCGGATATATCGTGGGAAAAAACGCATGTACAAATAATGTGGCAAATCCTCATTTTTCTTTGAAAAAAAAGCAGTGGGGGATAAAGAAGGAATGGGATAGTTTCAGTATGAGAAAAAAGATGTCAGGGACTCCTGTTTTTCATGGTGTATATTGAATTAAAAAGCTCTGCAAAAGAAGTAGTCTATAGAGGAAACATGTAATTAATAATACAACGCCAACTTATCCGGATTGTAGCTTTAAACATAAAGATTAATATATAAATATAATATATTCTAAATCAATTTATAACGCGCTCGTGTAAATTATAATATAAAATTGTGTATAAACAATGTGAATTACAAAAATATTTAATTATTGATTTCAATTAATATTTTTTATAAAAAATGTTATAGAAATGTATATTATGTTAATTAAACTATCAAGCAACATAAGTTTTATTTTAAAAAATAATAACAAAAATAAAAATTTAATTTAATTTCGGGGAACTGTACATTATCCATTTTAAAGCCGATAGTGTTTCGTAAAAAGTTCGGAAGAAATGTCTTTCTGTCCGTAACCGCAAAAATGCCGATAAAAAAATGTTTGAGGAAAGCGTGTGTGGTATACATAAGTGGCGAGAGATAAATTAGAGAATCTGCCACGCCTGTACTCTTAAGATCCTAAGAACCTAAGAACTAAGATGTGAAGTGTTCTTTTTCGAAGTATTCGTTGTCTTTCGAATCTGGAAGTTCTCAGACTTTATATTCTTTTTTATCAGTCAATATCGCATCTCGATGAACGAAAGGAGAACATGCGTATCTTAGACTGCAACTAAATTTCTGTTGTTAAAGAAAAAAAGTGTATAGAATTATTTATTCTAAAATATATGCAATATTGAAATATATGCAATATTTTTTAATATCAAAAGAATTTAAATCTAAAATTCAATTAAGATTTATCGTTATGTATAAAAGTAAAAAATTATTTTAGTAGAAGATAAAATTTCATCTAATTATAATTATAACTTATATATAAATATTATATAAATATAATAAAAATATAATACGAAATTACATAATTAAATAAAAATGGAATGTCTGTAATGTATTTTCGCAATTATGTCAGAAAAATTAATTTTAAAAATCGAGAAATTTAGCAGTGCTGAAATTGGCTGCAAACCGTCACTGTCGTTTTAAAGCTGTTGCGCTACTATGCTGGTAATGTTTATTGATAAGATAACCAACATGCGGGTTCCACCAGCATATTGTTCGTTGGATTCTTTGTTCCATGTACTAAAT